CGGCTGGTTTACAGGCAGCGATTGTGTACCCTGTTTCCTAAGAAAATACATCGCGATGCAAAAGATCATTTTAACCTATCCGATTTTTGACCATTTTATATATTTTTGTTTTTCTTTCGAAACATCATAGCGTGAAAAGTGCCTTAAAGCCCTCCAGTTACAGGAGCAAGTTTTCTTCAACAAGGAAAACTTCCCCCGCCGTTAAAAAGGTAAAGGAAAGCTCCATCATGTTACGAGCCTCGTTATCTTATAAGCTCCATTATCTTACGTGCTACTTGACTCACAATTTTGTTATCTCGAGAGAATGAAGCTGCCTCTAACATAAATGTCTCCCAACAGTATTTTTCAGCAGGTATATTTTGAAAAAGTAGGTTCACGTTCTACATTAAGTAACGTCTGCTACAGCAAAAACAAGAACGAAGACGATGCGCTCTCTTTTTGACTGACTCTAGATCGTGATAGCCGGGGAGGCTACTCCACACAGTTTTATATAGGGAGGCTTCGCCCCAAGGACTAACCCCTTAACCCTGCACTTACCATTTTTGACAGAAAACATACCCTTGTTTATTATATGTCTGAGTCTGTTTTCGCCATGCGATTGGTCAATTTGCGGTCCGTAACTTGCTATACGGACCAAAATTTTTAAAGAAAATGCTCATTTCGGAGCTCTAAATCTCTTCCTCGCAAAAAAGGTTTAAATAAAGTTATAAGACGCCTGTTAATCTTTAGGACTTGGATGTTGACTTTGACCTTCAACATTTTAAACTGTGTTTATTTGGGAACGAAGGCGATGAAGAAACTAACTCTTAATCTTATCGAAGAGGATTCCAGTCGGTGTTTGAAAATTTTATCGTAGTACACAGTTAAGAAGACGAAAATCGACTGGCAGAGATTCGAGATGTTTTGCCTAAGAGAAAATGAGTAATTCCTTCGACAAATATGATAACAAACATACCTGCACCCGATCATCTTGACAAGCTTCTTTGCCATTTGCAGTGTTTTTTCAAAGACCTACGAAAGAAAGATATAAGCGAGTTCGAGCCAGACGCAATGTCCAGTTTTCAAAAGACTCCAGCGTCACAACGAGTGAATACTTACAGTGCTCGAGGACTGGGATGTTGACTTTGCCTTTCCAAATTTTAACCTGTAGCTTTGTTTTAATGAGAACGAAGCTGATGTAGAAACTGAATCGTAACCTTACCGAGGAAGAGAATTCTAGTCAGTGTTTGAAAATTTAACGCAGATCACAATAGACCTTGTCACGGTTTTCGACGCCATCTTGACGAGTAGGCAAACGCGTGAGAAATTACAATGATTGTATGAGAATCTAATGTCGAATAATTTCCGTAGAACGGCTGTTCTGAAAACAATATGACTTGTAAACTAAAGCTTCACTCCTAAGGATTCTCCTGAAAAAATTTGAGGGCGTTACATTCACTTGAAGACCTAGAACCACTTTTTTAAATTTTCTATACAGTTGTCTGTAAGAAAGTCCCGGGAAAATTACAGACAAATATATGGAAAATCTAAAGCAAGCCTCTGGAAAAATTTAAGCAAAGGTACGCCCCAAAATTTTTTAGGACAATCCTTTGCATTGTAGCTTAAGTTTATAATTGATTTTTTTTTTTCAGAACAGACGTTTTACGGAAATTACCCGATATTAGATTCTCATACAAACACTGTAATTTCTCACGCGTTTGCCTACTAGTCAAGATGGCGTCGAAAACCGTGACAAGGTCTATTGAAGACGAGAATGAACTGGCAGAAAGAGAAGTTTTCCCAAAAACAATTAACGAGCGAATCCTTCGACAACGACAGACAACGACAACAAACTTACCTTGAAAAGCCGGCTTCTTTGCCTTTTGCAGTGTTATTTTTTTTTTACAAGGACAAACGGAGGAAAGATGGAAAAGACTTCTAGACAGACACAGTGTCCGGTTTCCAAAATACTCCAGCGTTACATTAAAGAGCTAAAACTTACAGTGCTCTTAGTTTTGACCGAATAAACTTTTTCACTGACATGGCGAATTTGTTTTTACTTTCTCGGAAAGCCTTTGTTATGTGCTATTGTTTTCGTGCGCTAATAAAAACTTTCTTTTTTGACGCCTGTCAAATGACTGTCAAATCGTGCGTCCTGCACTTGTTTCCGGTCCCCCAAACAGGAAGAAGCCATATAATAAACATCTTATGAGACTTGTTTTTCGGTCCGTACTGTAAATTACGGATCCTCGTTTTTTTCCATCGATTTATGGCCCAAGCGTCCATAAATCGATGGAAAAAAACTCGGTCCGTAATTTACAGTACGGACCGAAAACTCGGCTAATAAGAGGTATGTATACCTTCTATTGGCCGTATTTAAAATAGAGACGGATTATCCGCCTGAGACGGGTTATCCGGTGGAAAGTTCGCGTCAGGCAGATAACCGTCTTATATGATTGCACTTTTAAGCCTTCGTTTTCAGTTATGGACCCATATCATGGCTGTAAACGAAAAAAATACATCCGAATATTATCCCCACTAGGTATAATAAGATCCCCTCTTGCTAGAACTGAATTGAATTCGATTTATAATGACATTTTGAGGCCTTAATTAACGACCAGTAAATGCAAAAACATCTAGTTTGATCAGCAATGCTACAACTTATTTCGAAGCGCTTTTCCTATGCCATAAATAAGCCCCCTCGGAAATTAAAAGCTCCTCCGTTTATACGTCTTCCTAAAACCCCTTAAGAAGATGTACAATGTATAATCCCAGGGCTTATCAGCGACAATTTATGGTAAGGGACGGTTCACATATCTAGTACCAACACAATGTCTTTTGTCATTTTCATGTAGCGTTTAATTTGATTCAATGAATTTCAACTTTAATTGTAATTGCAAAGGCTGTGACATTGCCAAATTTGAAAGTGATACGTCTTCAGCTTGCAAAGAGTTGCGAAAATTTACATACGTTTGTACGTGGGCGGGTGGGAGGGGGAGAGCAAGTTTGTACCCGCCCCCCACCGTCAGACAAACGCCTGTAAAATTTCCCGACTCTGAGGAGCTATATCTTCGTTAATTCGTTTTCAACAAATCACTTTCAAAACTCGGCAATTTTACTCATTTTAAAACGTTCTTTCCGGGGGTTTCCTTAGGTTGTCCATGTGAAAAGTTGAAGGAAAAAAAAAATGGTATGGTCTATCCTGAAAGGGGTACACTTCTGGGTTGCGCCTCCCAGTATAGGTCATTATAGGGGGCCCCTCAACGCTCCCCCCCCCCCCCCCC